GTGGGTTTGTTTTATTGTCTTAGTGCTTTTTCTACCTCATTTTAACGTCTACCTGAACAATCTTCTATTAACTTACGCACACCTTAAGCTACTTGTGGTTAACTTCGTTAACATTTTCGCTTTTGTGGCCTTTAAAAATATATATTTTATGATACCTTGAACTTGGTGTGGGTTTATTGATAGCCAATTTATTACTATGTTAATTTAGCGAGGAATTAAGTCGGCATATCCGTATTCCTTATCCGGTTTAATTTAATTGATGTCGTCATTCCAAGTGATTGGCTGTTGCTTGACATCCTCCGTGTGGTTGCGCTTGATATGCATGTTGACAAGATGCCTACCCGTTTATTACCCATCACTTCGTCCTTACTGGCTCCAGGAGACGGTCGTTGCTGGAGGAGATGGGGTGCATGGTCCTCGTGACCGTGTTAAACTCGAAGAGTAGTTCTATACACATGTTTGTGTGTAAAGCGGACTGCGGTCAAGCCACCGCATTGTGTACGCTTGATTCCCCAAAATACAGTGTGCTTGTGTTTGCCTGTGAAGGAGTGTGGGCCTGATCCGTTGATGAAACCTGGCTTCCATCCACTTGCCTCTAGGTCTTATTACTTCCGGTTTACACTGGATACGGGGTTTGTGGATGGAACTGTGGATGGTGCAGCGCCAGCCACCCATTGTCCCTCTGTAGGTGCAGGCGTCCTTTGACTGTCCCTGTGAAGGCTGCAGTGGCAGGCAAATCCGGAACCCAATGCGCCAACCATATATTCCGCTGCGGACCGAAAGTGTGCACAAGTGCCTATGTTTCCACCACTTCGTGTGACCGCAAACTGCAAATGCTGATTGCTTAGATAAAATCGCTAACTGGGCGTGCTCTCCACAGCCGTTTGGACCAGGCTATTAGGTTAAATGTTCTTTAGTGGAGTCCCCTAAGCACAACCGTATAATGATTGAGCTAAAGTCAACAAGTGTTGAATCTCGAAAAAACCTCTCCTTTTTAACAGCTGTTATATCAAGTGCCCCATGCTGAGGCTGATGTTGCATTCTTGATGCTTCTTCACCGCAGTTGGGCTAAACCAACTTACACTTAAACTAGGTCTTTTTCAGCTGGATAAATTTCATTCCGCTTTATTTGGTTTGTTCTGCCTCCCTGAATAATGATCTATTAACTGGCCACGTTGCTTACACTAATTGCACTTATCTTCGGTAATTTTGTTGCGTTTGTAGCATTTTAAGTAACTTGTGGACATTTCTTACTTATCACGGATTTGTTGCTGACCAACTTACTTCATATGGTAATTTAGCGAAGAGTTATGCCACCGTATCTGTATGCATTGTTGGATTTATTTTATTTCAACTTGTCGTTTAAAGTGAATGGCTGTTGTTTGATATCCCCGGTGTGGTGGCGCTTGATGTGTATGTTGACAAGGTGCCTACCTGTCTATTACCCACTACATCGTTCATACTGGCTCCAGGAGACAGTTGGTCGTTGCTGGAGGGGACGTTGTGCACGGTTCTTGTGGCCGTGCTAGGCTCAAAGAACGGTTCCATGCACTCAGTGTGGAGCGGACTACGGTCCAGCCACCGCCTTGTGTGCGGTTGATTCCCCAAATACAGCGTGCTTGTGTTTGCCTGTGAAGGAGTGTGGGCCGGCTCCGTTGATGAAACGTGGTTCCCATCCGCATGCCTCCCGGTCTTATTCCTTCGGGTTTACACTGGATATGGGGTGTGTGGTTGGAGCTGTGGGTGGCGCAGCGCAAGCCATCCATGGTCCCTCTGTAGGCGCAGGCGTCCTGTGGCTTGCCACAGTGACAGGCAAATCCGAAACCGGATGCCGCCAACCATATCAAGTGCCTATAACCTCAGTCAATGGTCACGTTTTATGAGCTTGCTTTTCTTACGCAACAAAAGATACTCACTATCACTATCTGTACACAAGAAAGGCACTTTCTTCCAAGCTTAGAGTATCATGCCACATTTGTTCTTTTGACATATGCTGTCAAGTACTTTGGCACGCGACACTCGCAATAACATCCTATTCCCTCGGAATTGATGTTTACTGCATCTACTAAACACGCACTTACCTTGACTCAGTTAGAAGTGCAGTCAGAAAAAGCCGACGGTTAATATATTTAAGTATCTACCGATACCGGACATCAGTATGTTGCGACCATGTAAGTTTCACGCTACTTCTTTCCACTTTTCAGCCATTCATAGTTATATGGCAGCAGGCCTTCACTTCGCAGTACACATATGCTGCTTCCGACATTTTATAATGCACCACTTAAGCTGGAAAATGTCCTCTTGTAGCCTGGGGTTGTTAACATTAGGTTTTGCCATCACACTGGCTCATGCTGTTCACTAACTTTCCAGATCCATCTCGGGTTGTTTAGTTGCGCGTTGTCTCAACGTGTTGCGTATACTCTTAAAAATGTTTCCGGTCCGATCACAAGCCTACCTTGTAATCCGGTGTGTACGGGTTCGGGCCTGCGTAAGGAACAAGCCGACCATCGCAGTATCATTGGCCCAGGCGCTAATGGTAATGGTTGCGTGGTAGCAAAGCGTCGATACTGGGTATCGGCGTACTACTGATGCCTTCGCTAAGGTTTCAGCGGCTGCTTTTGAACAATTCACATTCCCCATTATCCCGGGTACATCGATGATGTCACTTACAGTATCAAATCACCCGCAACTGGTATGCAGAAGCTACTCCTCTTTAATAGTCCAAGTGAACAACCAACTTTGCGATTTGACTTCAAAAATCTTTATAGCTTGTTAAATAGCAAAGGCAATGTGCTTTTATTCGTTTTAGTGATTGATCCCACCAGCTGCAGCCGAGAGGCCACCAGCGTTGAATTTCGTAAATAAGGCTTTCCCTTAGTTCAAATGGGCAAAAGTGCGTGTGTCGTGAAGGCTATGAGTGATTTGAATGCTCACTTCGATTGTTTATTGCAGTCGGTTCGTCTCATCGTAGACTGTTTCGGAGTCGGTACTTGTACCGGCAATCGCGATTGCTTCCTTCAGCTGGGTGCTCATCACGGCTTAGATGACAGCAGCACGGCTTTCTGGCTCATAACACCTACTGGACGGTAAAGTACTATGAACTATAACTGTCCCCATCACTTTCAGTGATGAGTGACGCACGTAGCCTATCTCCTTTAAGGCTGAACCTAAACATGGACTCAGTCATCTTTGTCACTGAAAGTCTCAGGTCGATACTTTTGAGGCTTTCAGAGACGTTGCGACTGACCCACTCAAACGTTGCCATGATGATCGGTTCGCTCCCAAATGGTTTGGGTGGTCTCTTAATTCCCTACTTAGTATGAGATATGGGTCATGGATAACATCTTTGAATAACGGGGCACGGATTAGGGCCAGGTGCACGGAACTAGTCTAGCTCCGTGGCGGCATATAGGACTTAAGATTCAGGTAAAGACCGTAAGTCAGTCGAGCATGGTTCGACCAGCGCCGCATGAAAAGGAAGTCAATAAAAGCTCGATGATCTTCCATCCAATCTAACAGTGAATTTGTTCAACCTCATACCGCGTCGAGGTCTAGGGCGACTTGTCGGATGTCCTCCCGACTGCATTCTTTTGAACTCACACAAGATTTCATATCCATGGATCACCACTGCTGATTCATCACCGCTTATGCTTCTTCTTAGACAACGTAGAACCTACACTGACGAACGGGGTTTTTTAAGTGCATATTTAAGTTCTTTTTGCAGTAGCTTCCAAATCAGTGAAGTTAGCCGCTAGTGGTCACGGATAGAACCGGTAGATGCGCGCTACTGGCTAGTCTCGATGGGGCGAAGCGACCATCTAGCGCTTTTCCGGGCGTGTGAAAGACTATGCGACTTGTAAGCTAATGCAGAAAAGAAAGGGAAACTGCATTACGCCAGCAGCACGTACCGACGTCTCACCGTCATGCGACTACCACCAGTCGCTCGTGAGCTGGGTATAGCGCCAGGTCGCTTTTACCTACGCGGCCTCCGGACTACACGGTAAACGTGTAATCCTTTCGGTCAGCGGTCGACTGAAATCCATTGCGAGGAATCATTACTTAATTGGGATCCGCTTTTCGGAACAAGTCCGATACCAAGTAGATCTACTTAGACAATCCTTGACTAGGATGTGCCATGAAATCCATACAGCCCCTGCCGGGTTGGAATTATTTGAAACCCTCACTCGTCTTATACTCGAATACAGTATCTTCCTCCATGGCAGCATGCGGAAGTTAGAGAGGAAAACTATCGAAATTTACAGAGGTCATTCACCGAACGTTTGTTCAGTGGCACGTCCATTCTTAACTATCGCCAATGTTGAAAGCAGCTTCACATCGAACCTCTCTGGCTACGGTGTCTAGAGCCAAACTTGATGCTCCTTCACAATTTGTTGCATCAAAATATTATGCATAACTAACTTAGGGATAGAACACACTAACCATCGCAGACTCCGCAACAACATAATAACGCTGCTCTTACCAAGGGCTGGAACAACCATGCGCTCCAACTTTTTCCTCATCAGATACACGGACATGCGGAACAGTTTAACAACCGCAATCAGGACATATGAAAACCCTACATCTTTCCACACCAAACGACAATTTCTTAGATCGAAAAGTGTTACCATCCATATTCTCCTCTGATAACTCACTTGGCGTGATATTCTAGAATGGTCCAAGGGATATCTAAAAGGCCGAAAATTATCGTCGACGTACACTCATGGTCATAGCTGTACCTACTGATCTACTCCGCACACTTCTCACACTTTCCAGAAATATACATATATAACTAGTGTGTTTAGCTGATCGCATGGCGCACGTTTTGTGCCCTTCTTTATCTCACCGCTATGTTAGCCGTCCGTCCCAACCCTGCTATCATTAGTCTATTTCCACAGTAAGGGTTTTCTCAGTTTTGTTATCCTCGCAACCAATATTCTGCCACTTTGAATCTTGCTTATAAAATGGTTTAATTTTTACCTCTTCGCTTAATATTTTGCCAGCGAATATTTGGCCGATTGGTCATTGGAGAGCTTTTGGAAATTTGTGAACCAACTAGAACCTCTTTCGTATGAGCGCAGTGCTAATGCTCCTCTGTCTCCTGAATTGGATTTTGAGACGTACTTGAAGTTGGAAGATCTGGTTCTTCGGGCTCTACAGGGAGTAAGGGACGGAAGTACGCTTACCGTAACATATCGCCAAATCTTTCGTCTCTTCTTTTCCTCGCGATCCTATTCTCCAGCTGTGGAAATGTCACATCAGGTCGCAATGGCTAGGGCCTCTCAGCTTTTGAATGTGTCTCTTTTGGAGGTGGAGGATCATCTGCACCGATGCACTACTACCGGCAGCACATGGGCGCAAGTCGGCGACCAAATCTTGTGCCATCCCGAAGAGATTTTCCCCTTGTTAGAAGCTTATGTAGCCAAACCCCTTTTTCACGGTGAGCCATTCCTTGCCCTACTCAAATTATTTTCTCCATATACATTGGCGAGTGTTCTACACCCATGGTCCCTCATGCTAATAGCCTCTGATGTGTCCGCAGTACTGTGCTGTAGACTTTTTTTTATCCGATCTCATGAGTCTACTAGGATGAATGCGGAATATAATTGTACTCACAAACCGGAAGGGTTGAAAAGCATTTACATCTCGGTATTCATGATCAGGTGGGTAGTTTGAATGGGTTAATTCTTCTTATCTAGTGTTGTTTGTACGCATTAAAAGGTGCACTACGTGTTAGGCACGATTCACCTTTTCACATTCCATCTTACCACTCCTGCCCGTCAGTTAGTGTTCACCAGTTTCATGATATTTTGCTCACCTACTAATATGTATTTCGATAATGTGAAGAGCATTGGTAACTATATGGGACCGGAACTTGTGGAGACTACTTACCGGTGCATTAGTTGACACACTCATGTGTGTTTACGCTTTTCAACAGAAAACGGATTCACATAGCATGTGTGTGCGTATTGTGTATGGCCTTAACAAACTCCTTTCTAATGCTTCGTTGGTTGCCCACATATTACACTGTTGGGTCCTCTTAGTGGAGCTACGCTCCCTCTCGTAACTTCTCCTTCCATACTGGCTTAAAGTATTGCTGTGTATCATCATCTCTCAAGGCTAACGGCTGCCAATTCTGAGTCCACTACACTGACTTCAAATGCAGCTCACACTATGGCTCTCATTGTCCCACTTGATCCTAAAAGGCGATTAGGAGATCAATCGGCCGTTGTCTTTTTGTCTTACTGCAATCTTTCGTATGCAGAGTTACGCTTCTTGGTACCCGATTTTGAGGATGGCGTCTATTTCACCGTTGATGTAGAGAGTCATCTGGTCGTATTCACCATTCTAGTTCTTCTATCTCTACTCCTGAATTAGAGGTTCTACTACATGACGGTCTGTCAAAGTTAACAACCTAGCTATCCTTGGGTCGACTTCAGCCGTCGTGCATGCGCCACTGAACAGCTTAACGTGTAGCGCCTCGCGCTTCAGGATATGCTTTACACTTTTGGAATGCAACCTTAGGTCACGGGAAGGGGCAAGTTCATCACCACTTCCTCTTATTACCAAACAGCTGCTGGAAATTATATACCGATTTCCTTAACTCCGTAGCTGTATTACTCGTGATGATTCCTTCACACATTGCTTAAGCGCGCACGGTTTTTCAAAGCCCGTCACTTGTAGAGAGTACATCCTATAGGTCTGTTGGTTACTTTAGAAACCTGAATGGATAAAATGTGGCCAGTATTTCAAAAAAAGCAAAGGAGTCATCAGCAGTACGCCGGTACATTGTGCCGACGCTTTACTACCACGCGAGCACCACCGGTCGCGCTTGGGCTGAGTATACCGCGAAGACACCCGCTCGACTCTTTATCTGGTGTCTGACAACACACCAACTGACACCTCATTGGGGTTGTTACTGAAACCGAACCACTTTCGATGTATCGGTTCTATGCTCCGCGTGCCAGCACATCGACTGTCTCGCTATGTATTGTTCGCTACTGCTATGTCGAGTTGGGGGAGACGTCGAGTTGTTCAGTCAGTAACTTGGGCGCGATGCAACCTAACGGCTAAGTGGAGGTTGGTGTTTGTCCGCTTCCTGGATGCTGACCTCGAGAAGGACTGCGTTTTCCGGTTTAACACTGTCGCATGCGGTGAAATTACGGGGGTCAGTGGTTATCTAGCACTGGTTTCTATATTTCTGGAATCACCGAATACGAGCCTGTTCGCTAGACTCTTCACATTACGGAACACGCGAATTATTCAGCATTCGAAGCATAATCGAAGACCCCATCGTACCTATGGTGCTTATTAAGTATCAGAAGTTCCCCGTGCACAGCATTCTGAAGCGACCACCGCGATTCGATTTTTGAGCAACTGCATCGATTGTGGCGAATACCCTTATGCTCTCTTGCTCTATGTTTCGACGAAACCATATTTGCATCATCGGAGGCACTACGGCATCTGGTCTTAAACCAGACGGGAACTTTGACGGTGAAGCTAATCAATGTGTAAAGAAACAAATCCGAAGTACCGCTAGCTCTACATTACTCAACTGATGGTGGGGAGGCATCATTTGACTCGTCCGTACAGCGGGATTGCAGCAAAACGGCAGCACGAAAAGGATCTAAAGCTGAACCAGCAGGTCAGCCACATATAATTCAGGTTGGAAATTCCAAAGGAACCTATGCGGTCCGTGCACAACCTTTCATCCTTACATGCTTGATTCCATTTTCCGGTTTGAGGCATATTTGAAACCCATGGAACTTTTATCTCCATACCATGATTTTGGAGTCTTTTGATTTTATGCTGGACAATTTGAGTTAAACTGCCGCACGTGCGATGTCACCGGACTATCTTTGTTGTCACACTCCTCGAATGCCTGTGCTCTAGATAACCAGACGATTGTTTTCGTATAATGTGAGAAGTCTCTCTCTATTATACGAGCGGCTCTCATCGAGCACACGGTAACCACCGGCCCGTGTGTTGAGATCCCCAGCAAGGACGCCAATGTCGAATTTGCAAGCGCTGCTCAAGAGCTGGTGAAGTTCACGGTAGAAGTCGTCCCTTACCAAGTCGCAACTGCACTCAGTTGGATCGTACGCTGAGATAACAAACAAGTTGCGTCTCTCATCACGACGTCTGTTGATCCTGTATAATCCCCGAAACCAAACTGCACACAGTTGAATATTATTCGAGAAACATTTCAGGATCGCGGCCTCAGCTTTGCTGCTTACTGCTACACCAACGGCAGTTAAACCTACCGCAGCTGCTTCTGTGTCACCAGCTAGACAAACGTATAAGCAATATGGCTGCGTGGTCGGTTGGAGATTTCAACTCACTCACATTACTGAGATCTAACAAGGGATTTCGCGCAAGGCCAGCCTGCTGCCCGATCTGCATGAGTTTACGTCTGCAATGATGATGTGCGTAGGCGAGTGCTACTCAGTGATAACCAAACTGGTTCCTTAGAACAACGTATAGCACTGAGTAAGTTGCGTTTGCTTGGGCACGTACTAAGTATGCCCTGTCACCGCTTACCGAGGTGGGCTTTGTTTTGTCTGTCAGGTGTAGGCTGGCGCAAGGTTCAAGGTGGACAAAAGTTGACTTGGCAGTGTGAAATGAAGTCACTGATGACAAAACTTAGTGCCGTCAGTCCGTTTCGCCTTCCAGGCTGGAACCCACGTGACTCGCCGTGTGCTTGATTCGAGACGTTAGAGAACATAGCTCGCAGTCGACACCAGCGGCTCGTCTGCTGTAGTCTCCTAGTCGGACTGCCTGTTTAGACTGTGTTTGGCGTTGAGTCATCCGCAGGGTAATGGCTGATTATGATATGGGGCAGTGAAAGCCGCAAAGAAGCTTTCTTGCTGCTGCCACGTTAATTTTGCACGATAGCCAGCTATTTGTGACTGTATGTTGTTGACACAAGGTGCGAGCGCCTTGACCCTGTTTGTTTAGGACGTTAACCCTTTTAGCCCTGAATTATTCCGTGTAAAGGGAAACTTTTTTCTTTTAATGTATTATGTATTGATATGTACGAAAACAAGCAAATGCAGTATTTTGTGAGTAATGTATTTATTTATCATTCTGGAGTGAGTCGATAGTCGTCTCCACATTCAAAAAGGGCCTGCGCACAAATTGCTTTAACTACAGGGGCATAATTTTGGGTCCCGTCGTTTGAAAGATTCTGGTATCCATCATTCTTCCTCGGTTATCCCCACCGCGTGATTCACTACTGCGAGAAGAACAGGATGGGTTCCGCGCTGGTCGCGGCTGCATCGATCAGATTTTCACTGCCCTCCAGATTCTTCAGCTTCGCTATGTGTATCAAAAGCCAACGATTGTTGTGTTCCTGGATATCCGTGCTTTCTTCGATTCTGTCGACACGGCTGCATTGTGGCGCTGTCTGTTGAGGAATGGTATTCCCGGGAAGTTCATTTCCGTACTGTGTGCTCTGTGTAGTCTGACCTCGGGTAGAGTTAAGGCTTATGACAAGCATTCGCTTTCCTTTGTTGTCATCAGTCGGGTTCGACAAGGATGCCCTACCCCTCCATTCATCTTCACTTTTTTACCATTGAGGATGTCCCCAAGAATGCACCAGAAGACTTGTTGTACGCTGGCGTTTAGCTGTGTCCATGTAATCGGGTGGTTAATTTGTATTACGCTGATGATTTCGTCTTGTTGTGTGACGGTCCCCAGGCCGCGCAACTTGCACTTAACTGCCTGGTGATTGAAGCATCGAAGTATAGCATGCACTTTTCACTATCCAAGTGGAAAGCGCTTTTTCAAGATTGATATACGCCCCTACCTGCACTCACCATCGATGGGGAAACGTTAGCAGTGGTATATACTTTTATCTACCTGGGAAGCTGCATATCTGTTAATGGGGCTGTTGGAAACGAGATTTCGATGCGTACCTAAACAGCACGTCTCGTCTTCTCCAGGCTGAGGCATTTATGCCGCCGCCATGACATCCGTCTCTTTATCAAAGCACGGGTTTATATTGCTACTCTCCGCGCTGTACTGTTGTACGGTTAGGAGAATTGGCTTGCTCATACCCATGACCTACTCCGACTGTCTGTCTTCGATAAACGTTGCTTGCGGTCCATCACCCTTGTGTAGTGACTGAACCACGTAACCAACCTTGAGCTCAGACAGCGTCTTGGGTGGGGACAGCCACTCCCTCGAGGCGCTTCTCCCGCTACGCCCGCTACGATGGCTCGGACACGTACTGCGTATGCCCGTTCAACCTCTTCCGCGTCGTGCCTTGTTCGCGGTCGCTGGACACCGTTGGAAGAGGCGGTGTGGTGGACAGCCTACAACTTGGAGAAGCAGGACGAATAAGCTGACAAAGCAGCTAGGACACGGTTGGTTTCTCCCGACTCCCTGCATGGGTTCCGAAAGATGCTGAGTGCCGTTGGTTGGAAATCTTGTAAGTCA